ACTGTAAAAATTTTGTAAACACCATTGCAAAGTCACCCTGCCCACATGGTGCACTTCGCAGGACCAGCCATCACTTCAACTGTGCTGCTGCCCGCAGGACTTCTRGTGCCCTCGACATTGTCGGAATGCGGCTGTTGCATCCTCTGCTTCTCCTTCAGTCTCCCCCAACAGAGCTTGTAATATTTTAAGTGACACAGAAGCTTCTCTCAAGCCATGCTCTGCCAGGGGAGACAGATGTCATTTATCAGACCAACTGGATTTTGGAACATTTGCCTGGATGTCAAAGACACCAGGACTTTCCAAAGCAGCCACCCATCTACCTCCTCTTTCTCTTTCCTGCCTCATGTCACCACCTCTCTCTAGGTTCAAGGCAATTCATTGTCTTATAAACATTAAGGGAACATACAGGAGAGCAGATGCGTCACTTGCCTTTGCTCACTTTTAGAATTAGATTGCCCAGCAGAAAGCTCTTCTGGAGCACAGAAGAAATCCATAGCTATAATGAAACTCACAYGGGAAGTTTTTGCCTATAGCTTTTTAAAGTTTCCCATCTTCCCTTATCTACCTGGATGAGGYTTAACTACCTGCAAGCCATGTCTGGATGTCGTGGCTGAGATGCAAGAGTTTCAAGCAGAGTTTCAAAATAGCTGCTTTCTAGGTTGTAACAACATCTTTTCATRATCCTGTGAAAACGGGATGAGAAACTAATATCAGGGTGCAGCAGTGAATTCAGCGTGGCCCCAGCTGCGCCCCTGCCCTGCACATCCCACGTGCCCGGGGAAGCAACGGCTGCTGCAGCGGCACAACCGGYCCTTGGGAGCCCGGGCAGCGGCAGCACCCGGGCCCAGCGGAGCTGCTGCCCGCGGGAGCCGGCCCCGTGCACGGGGCGGACGACGCAGTCCTGACCACGCTCTCCAGCCCAGAGCTTCTCTGGGCACAAGGGCAGCCTTGGCACACAGCAAGTCTCTAGGTGCATTACAACTTCCTCTACAAACATGTTTTCCCCCTCCAGCCCCATATTGAATTATCTTCTGAAATTGAGAGCATCATTCTGTAGAATTGCCTGCAATCTGAATTTAATAGGAATCACAGGAATTCAGGCTGTTGTTGCTGTGGACAACAGTCAAACTACATAGGGCTACATAGTTGCAGCTCTTCCTGTGTGACACGTGCAGAATAAGGACACGTGCAGAATAAGATGTCACAAGAGCTGTCAGTCTGATAACATGCCACAGTAGTCGTTACCTGCTATTGCAAAGCATTATGCAAGTCTCCACATATACAACTGCTGTAGATCTGATCAGCTCCTAGGAGGTCACCTCCGAGGAAGCTGCTCAGTTTGGGACAAATGGGGACAACGGCTTCCTCAGCAGGCACAAAACTTTCTTTTCTGCTTGCTTCTGAGATGGTGCTTTCGAGCACTGGGCAGCTTTGGGGAAAGCCACAGGTTGTCTCTAATACAGTAAACTTTGAAATCGCAAGTCCAGAGCGCCTGCTGGTTTCCTCCCAAGATTAGCTCAGTCTCAGACTGCAGAGAGGTTGCCTGAAGTCCTCAGATAATTAAGGCTCTAATAGAAGGAGCAAGAAAGTTAAGATRGCACAAGGTACTAAGTCTAGGCTGTTATTAGGATTAGGGATTAAAGCAGATTTACAGTATACAAGGAGTTAGATAATACCTAGCGGCTAAGAAGACAGAAATTGTAAGGCTAAAGAGTATTTGAAGATACATTTAGACCTGAAGCAGTCAAAGATAGGATCAGCTTTGTCTATAGCTGTCAGTGCACATCAGTTCTAGTAACTGCAGTCTGCTCCTCTATAGTTTAAGACTTAGCCTGATGCATCTTTGTAGGAGACAAACAGTGTCAAGTTTTATTTTGTCAATTTAAGGCAGATGCAATAAGATTATCTTCAGATTTTGAACATATAATACTCAGAGAATTAAATAATCAGCCTGCTGAGAAGAATCAGCTTCTCTATTAAAGACCTTATAGATAATGGTGACTTTGCGTTTTCTTAGCAGCTTTGCACCGTCTCTCTATTACGCCCCCGGTATTCCCTGTGGGAGCTACAAAAGAAGCCTTACTTTTTCCATGTCCAACAGAACTTTGTTAAGAAATAAAAATACCAAAGTCTGATACTCTTTTGTACGATGGCTCGGAAGCCTAGTTTTCACATACAAAACCTTCTACAGTGTAAACTGCCTGAAGACCCCGACCTTACCAAAACAACTGTTCTTATCCTATTTCCCAAGCCTGCCCTTCTTCTAATCGCACCCTCATTGTATTTCAGAACACACAGATTCTCAGCTGAGTACCGAAGTTTTGAACACCGGACAAAGCCCTGGTCCCTACAGCGGCAGTTGCAGGTTGAATGAGCAGGCTAGATGACCGAGCCCCCTTTCTGCKCCACTTTTCAGTGCTCTGTGCTCCTGGAAGTGCTGTTTTTTTCCCCCAAGTATACAGGAGATCCAGTCCTGCTCCACGTGTTATATCCCTGAAGAGCAAGACCATCAAAGATAAAACATCTAAGACTAACTTTTCCACTGAAGAGGAAAAGCACAGCTCATCTGGGCACAAAGAACTGGCCAGCACCAAAAAGAAGGTTCTTATCACCTGGCACAGCTACAAAAACTTGAAAAATTATGAAGACAGACAATATAGAGAATGCTGGAAGGTGACTGGAGACCTCACTCGGAGCTACCCCACAGGATCCTGTAGAGTCTCCTTCTCTGGAGATCTTCAAAACCCACCTGGATGCGACTCTGTGCCTTGTGTTCTAGGTGTCCCTGCTTGAGCAGAAGGTTGGCCTAGATGATCTCCAGAGGTCCCTTCCAACCTTAACCATTCTGTGATCCTTCCAAAAATCTTGGCAAGCCAAAGGCGTTCAGGTCTAAAACCCTGACCTGACACAAGCTAGGAAGTCACCTTCATTCCTCCAGCGTTTCACCAGCTCACGTTTAGCTGGGTGCCCTACAGCTTCTTCTCCAGGTACACCTGGGAGAGCTACTCTATATGCCTGAACAGTCACAACTTACCCAGCCCGAACCAAGCAGTGCTTCAGAGTCACCCAAGYGCTTCACGCCAGTTGACATTCCAGGAAAATAAGCCCTTCTCAACCAGCCAGGAGAGCTGTAAGCACTTAGGAATCTAGAGTGGTGGGCACRGATGCTATTTTCTTCCTGACAGTCATTTTAACAGTGAAAAGATTTCAGTGCACTCCCTACATAATTCTGCTCCCCAGACTGTCTCTGCAGAAGTATTCTTATTTTAGGACAAAAGCTGGTYATGTCACAGGGAAAAGATAAGTCACACTGCTTAGCAACAACATGTTTTGTTGCTATTTCATGAGTGATTGTTCTCTGAATTAATTCTTCATGTYGTTAATGACAGAAGAAAAAAAAAGCTTAGGTATTTGCAGAGATTTTTTCTTTGGCAGGAGAAAGACTGTAGATTGAAAATCCAGGTCATTTAAGAGTTCAAAGTGTAGTCAGATGCTGCATCTGCAAACACATGATCTCCTGTTAACGTTTAACATAGTTTTAAACTAGTTAAAGAAAATTCCTCTTTTGTTTCATATTAAAGAGTCGCACAAACACAATAACTGATTACATACAAATCAAAATTATTTCTAAACCTTTCCCATTTGCCTGTCTTCAGGTGAGCTGGGCACAGACACCAGTTCCCATCTAGAACAGTTGTTCTAGGTCCCACTAGTAAATTTCTGCAGATGGAAGAGATGATGCAAGGCAGTTCATCCTGAAAAAAGAGCTGTATTAAACCCAGGGAAAGACAGGGAATAAAGGTTTATTCTCCAGCTCACTAGGCCCTGACCCTCAAAAAGTGCCTAGCCATGTACTTCCTATTTGCTTTAGCGAGAGACTAGGCTTGGCACTGCACCTCCTGGGGTCTCGGCCTTATGCTCTCTTACTTATATTGGCTGTTGCAATAATAGAGGAAAATCTTAAAAATCCACTTTTATTCTTAAACCATGTTTTTTTTCCTTGTATGTTGTAACTTTTTTTTGTCCCTCCCCCGCCCCCTTTTTCTTGGAGCATGTTTATGGCTATCATTTCAGGTATGGAGCAGATTGCTTATTTAGTACACTTAAAAGGCTGGCACGGGTCCCAGAACTGTAATTGTTTTAGGTAATTCCATTGATAATCAAAGGTAACGACACTTTCACATCCTGGTTGATATTTTATGTTCCTCTGATACACTAGAAAGAGCAAGAAGAAAGACGCAGGGACAATGCTACGTATATAGCTATCAACCACTAGTTGCCTGCTCTTTCCATGAATTTATCTGCAGAGATGCCAGCTACTCAAAATAACGTTTCAGACGTGGCATGTTAATCTAGCAACCCGCCAGCAATGACTCCAGCTGATAGTTTCTCCCCTTTCCATTAGGCCAAGATTTGCTGTATGCTCCTCCTCTGCATGGCGAGAGGGACGTAAAAAGCTGCCTTGGTSAATTTTAACCTGACAAGTTGTTCCTGTCTCTTGTTTTCCTCTGCAGCTACCTCTGACAAGGACACAGGCCAGCAAAAGTAGCTCTTTAGCCATGAGCCACATACACCTATCTGGCAGAAAGATGAGTAACTTCTTGGTGAAGAAAAAAAGATTTCATCCCTTTTTTCCCTCCAAAACACTACAGTTTTATTGCTCGAAACTGAAACTCTACGAAACGATGGCCTCAGACCACAGTAACGGGCACGATCGGCTGCAGCACCGTGGCAAGGCTGGGAAGGTGACAGCCAGCGAGGCGCAGAGCTTCCCGCCAAGCTTCACACCAACCTCCCCGCTCGGCCCCCGCTCCGGGCGTGCAGACACCCCAAACCAGCATCATCTCATCTTCAAATAGGGAACCCCCCTGGCTGGGCCACCCTGGAACRAAGATGCATGCATTTACGTGGCAGCTTTGGACAAAAAGAAAATCCAGGTCACGCTAAAGGCCACGGAGCCGCCTCGCTGGAGCGCAGCGGAGGCGGGAAGGCGGCGGTACCTTGTAGCTGGGCAGAGAGGGACTCCTGGTGCTGCTGGTACTTGAGGGCCATGGCCTCGGCCTTGCGCAGCTGGCTCTGCAGCTCGTAGTAGAGCATGGCGCCGTAGATGCAGCCGAAGACCACGACGAGGAGCAGCAGCATCTGGAAAACCCGCTTCTGTTTCCGGGAGCACATCCCGTTGCCCATAGTCCCCGCGGGCTCCCGGGGCCCCGCGGCGCGGCGCTGCTCAGCGGCGGGCGGCCGCGGACGGCAGCATCGGGACGAGGACGAGCTCGAGGAGCGGGGGCCGCGCGGGCGCCTCAGCCGCGGGGCGCCTCAGCCGCGGGGCTCCGCGCCGCCCTGCGCGGCCGCCGCGCCGGGACTCAGCGGCGCGCGGAGCCTCATGCCGCCCCCGAGCCGAGCCGAGCCGAGCCGAGCCGAGCCGAGCCGCCCTCCGCCGGTCCCGGGCGAGCAGGAGCCGCCGCTCACCCAGCCGCTCCCGGCGCTGCCCTACGTGTCAGCGGCGGCGCTCGGCGGCGGCTACCGGCCGCGGGCTCCGCCAAGGAAGTCCCGCTCCGGGCGCTGCCTCATTGGGCCCGGCCGCGGGGCTCGGCCCTCCCTCGGCGCCGGCCGCGCATTGGGCGCGCGCCGTGTCCGTCCGCGCCGCGCCCCGCTCCGCGCCCCGCCTCCGCCTCCGCCTCCGCCTCCGCCTGCCGCGCGGGGCCGGCCGGCGCCACAGGAGGGGGGACATCGGCGCGGGACACCGCGGGTGGCACCCGGGGCGACAACGGGGCCACGGGGGGGGCACTCAGCGCAGTACACCGCGTGTGGCACCAGAGGTGACAGGCGAGGTGCCAGGGGCGCGGGACACCGCGTGTGGCACCGCGTGGCCGTTGACACGAGGCGGCCGTTGGCCCCGCGCGGCCGTTGGCCCCGCGCGGCCGTTGGCGCCGCCGCCTGGCTGAGGGAGCGGAGCTGCCTCGCCCGCAGAAACGCGCCCCAAACGCGCCCTTTCCTGGCCCGCGCACCGCATTAATCTAATCGCCGCTTCCATTTATTGGTTTCTGCTCCTCGCAGGGCGCTGCGGTGTTTGGGGTGCTGGGGCGGCGCACAGGGCCGCTCTGCCCGTGGGTTGCAGTGCAGTGCGTGGGACGCCCCTGCCCACGAGCCACCCTGCCGCCTCCCCCAGCCCCACTTGGGCATCCCCTTTTTCCAAAAATGGCAACTTTCTACCCAGTGCGCAGCTGGAGTTTATCCCAGACATCATGCTGGCCTTTAAAGAAGTATGACGTAATAGAGGTATAAAAATATAYTGTTTTTTTCTATACATATCAGTGACATAAGCAGTCACCAGCACAAGCTGGCCTGGCTTCTAGCTAAGTCCATTTCCAATTTAAATCTGTTGTCTTTTCATTTTACTAAATGCCTTGCCCTTCTACTGTAGTGAGATTAAAGGCTCCTATTTGATCTTTATTTTTCCCTGTGCTTTTAGGTTTATCGTCTTTTAATCCTTCTCCTGTGTTTGCCTGCCTTGGATATGTCCCCGTTTTCAGGAACACACGTTAGTGCGACCTGCGCTCGAGCTGCCCGTCAAGCAGAGCCACAGGGGTGACCAGCTGCATTTTAGCTTATTTGCAGTTGGATTTGAATATCAAACAACGATACTCACTTGTTGACTTGCTTACAACATTCGGAATTAGATAATTAATACTGTGACATTTGAATTAAAAGAGAATTACTGGTGGGACTACTTTCCGTCTCAAGTTTTAACATTTCATGTCCTGAATGCTGTACAGCAAGATGTATTTCCCTGCTGAACTCATTCGGGGAAAAATCCCATTAGCAGCAAAACTGCTCGCAGTAATTTGTCGCGTGTAATTATATTCATGGTATCTGCATTACAGTGGATAAACAATATTCTTCATGCACTGACTTCAAGGGTTGCCAACAAAATATGTTCAAAAATTGTAAGCTAGGCACCYGGAAATAATTATAATTGCTTCAATGTAGTGATACTTTTGAAGTATTTATAGCCTTTTTTCTTTTCAAACTTGGATTTCAAAACCGTAAGTGTTGCAAATGGACTTATTTTTAGTTTGACCRTATCCATGGCTTTCCCCAAAATATTCACCTAGGCTTTTTAACACCTCCCAACTTCCAGCTTGTCTCCCCTCRGTCCCAGAGAAGCCCTGTGTGCTCTTGCCTTTCTAGACTTACCAGGCTGAGCTTATTTAAGTAGAATAAGATGGTTCTTTATTTCTAGACTGAAACTTTAAAATCACTGGAGGTGGTTAGTACTTCCGTATTGCGGTTAATGAAACTATTGAATTCCATATGTTTACACTTGTTCTTCATCTTTTCCAAAAAGAGTCTGCCCTTTTGCACCAAAGCACAAGTGTCTAGCCAGCAACTACGTCTTTTGAAGTCATTTTTGGCTATCATTATGACTTKATATACATCGAATAGATATCATAAATCAAAGAGGTCACTGAATTAAAGTCTTTATGTAGAACTTACTCTAAATGCGCTTATTTCATTATAATGTTAATGTACTTTATCTTTGTGTAGGAATTGGCCATAACGGTAACAAATGTTGAGAAAATGGTACAGGAATATCCCTCTCGTTTTGCTTAATCAAATATTACTTACATTCAGCAATAGCTAGCGATATATCGTTTTCAGCTAATGTAAATTCCGATTCTTCATGAGCAAACCAATTAAAGTTAAAATGAGAAATTTATTGGGAGCAAGGGACTATTATGTGAATCCATTAGGCAAATATGAATTAGAATCCCAAATTAGAAAGGTTTGGAGACTGTAATCCATAAAAATGCAATAAATTAGTTGCTAGGAGAGGAGTGTTACTTTGACTTCTGTAGTCATTGGGTAAGTTACTGATACAATCAGGAAGGAAGGAGGTAGCTGTTTGCTGACCTGTGTTGTACCAGGGACACATGCTCCAAAGTTGCAACACGGAGTTGATGGACAGGCATTTATATATATATATATATATATTTACCATTTTTGACTTATTTTCCTAAGAGAATGAGGCTTATGCAGTCAAACCTTCTGTTACTTCGTCCGTTGTAGAGGTCAATAGTTGGCAACCTGCCAACTTCTCACCATAATGTAGCCCTTGCTACTTGAAATGGGAGTTACCATAAAACTGTTCAGCTGCAATAGTCTAAAACAAATGTTTGAATTTGAGCCCAAATCAGTTAAATACCATATACTAAAGCACTATTTGACTTTAAGTGATGGTCACTTAAAGGACATCAGCTTTATAAGGGACTTACAATTGGAAACCCTTTATTACCAAGAGCAGGCATTCTATAAAAAGGAAAATAATAATATTTGAGTGTGAATGATAATACGGCTGCTGTTATGATTAAAGTGCTGGATATCTGTGTCTTTAGGCACTTCTCTGGCCATGTATTATTTACATTGAAGCAAAGTGCCCTGTGGCAGGGCCCTGTGTGTGCTCTGGGTCTGTGTGTGCTGTTTATACTGCAGATCAAATCTCTGCCACGAGTGAAGTGCAAACAGTGGTCACATTGGCTGTGAGCCCTGCAGGTAGGTTTGCTTTGCAGCAGGAATAATTGCATATAAATATACAGGGCTGCACCTTCAGCGAGGTGGGAACTGTCACTGGCTCCCAGGAAAGCTGCAGGCAAAGGGGAGGAAAAAGGGTTGGACACGGGAGCCTGGTGTTTTTCCTCTGTGGGAGAGGGTTGTTTGGTAGACTCAGGAGTATGGGATTCTGAGAGGGAAATGGGCTTTTTCTGCCTCAGAAGATAGCAATTGGACTCGGTATCTTAAAAGTTAGAGGAAAATGTTAAACTTGGGAACACTGACTACAAGATTATTTTCTGATATATAGGATAATCCGTTGTGATTACATTTTCCTGATATGTTTCCCACTGGGCTATCCAGAATGGAGGCTGTGGCAGATGGACTAATAAATAGGTCAGTGAATTCTGAATTATCCCATCCCCTGCTTTCTCCAGTTTTCTCAGCTTTCTATTTCTTTCACAATCTTTTGGTTTTACAGCACCTGAGTAAAAGTCAGGGCCTGATATTCTACAGCTGTAAAACCATCTGCCTTCCAGGAARGAGAATCTCACTGTCAGGTTTTTTTCCAGTGTCATTACACGGCAAGATAAATTAGCGACTGATAAACTAATGTAATTTTCATTGATGTTCATATTTTTGTGATGTATTTTTTAAACATCTGAAGTTGAAGCTTTTAAGCAGAATTTGGAAAGAACTTATTTCTTGGAATTAGTTTTAGGAGAGAAAACAAGGAGTTAGGAATTTATAAAATCTAAAGAAATGTAGCTAAACACGTTCAAATGAGATTAAAATGAAATAAAGATCTCAGCATCCATATTCTCATTCACTTTTGTCTTTATATGACTGGTCGCTCTGTTAGTGCTCTTCTGATGGTCTCACTCAGAAATAGAAACTTTTCAGTCCAATTCTGAGTTATTCTTGACTATAATTTTGTTTCATTTCTTAATTTTAGTTGATATGTGTTATTATGTAGCTTTTGTGCTGCCCATATACAGCAACACAACTAACGCAGGCTTTTCTCAGTAACCATGGCCATCTATCCTCATCATTAGTTTTGAAAGCGCTCTACTGTCACATTATAAAATAGCATATTAGCTTCAGTTCAAAGGAATTTTAATGATGTGGCTGGGAACATAAAAGGGTATAGAGGAATGAGAAAAAAAAGGTGAATTTGAGGAAAAACCTGTCATTAGAGAAATCCTAGGCTCTTATTGTGAGAGATAGGTAACTTTTTATTTCAAGCGTGACTGCTGAACTAGATGGGAGTGGTTGCCRTTGAACTAATATATGCAATTTCTAGTATCTTGGCCTTAATTTGTAAGATCTGAGGCAGAACCTGAGTGCAGTGTGAGCTGCTCCTCGGAAATGCGGCTCACACCATATCCATAGAATCAGAGAATCCTTAAGCTTGAAAGGGGCCTTTAGGGACCATCGAGTCCAACCCCCTGCACACGCAGGGGCACCTGGAGCCCGTGGCCCAGGGAGCGTCCAAGCAGGTTCGCTTGGCGTTCTTCGCTAGTTCTTATTGAGAGGTGTTCGTCTGTTTGTTTCCTACCAGGAATGCACTAGCTTCACTTTGCCTGGTACATTTGTGTATTTAGTAACGCTTTGTGACAGGAATTAACTGAGCAATTAGTTAGTCAAACT